AGGTTGAGCAGCACCAGGACATTCTGGGTAACAGGTTCATCACATGTAGCAATGCCATGGAGTTCTTGGGTTCCTTTGCCATGAGGGTTGCTTCAGGCTTTGAGGAGCTGGTTGATTGGGATATATGGGCTAGTGCAATGGCTGTCCGCTTCTTGGCAAGTGAGCTGCCACTGGAGAGGACTCGAACTAGTGATGGATATACTTCAAGCTTGCCCACTTGTCTTTGAAGGTCCGGTTTGGTGGGCTCTGTAAAATGTAAAAGTGCCGCTAGAGCATTCTCCAGAAGAGATGAGTCTACATTAGCAGATGCGCGGATTCCCTCATTTTCCTCTTCTGTGCATATCACCTCACGAATGGCTTTTAATGCTTCTGATTTCTTCAGTATTTCATCAATAATGATATCATCCTTGGGAAGCTGGCCGATGATTGCAGCGGCAATGGACCTTTCTTCAATATCCAGTGAACAAGTGAGAATGGCTACTAAAGTGTTGATGGCAGTTTCTTTCCAAGGAGATGGTGGGAGAGGAACTCCATCAGGGTGGTTATCTGAAATACAGCTTACGAGTTTCAGTACCCATCTTTTCACCTCACGCTGATCACCATCCAGTGCAGCGAATAGTCGAACAATTGCATCCCGATCTGATCGGATTAGGTTTTGAGCTGTATGAGATTTAGAGCTAAGTTCAAGTAGCAGGTGCAAGAACTCAATCTTAGTTTCAGGATCAGAATTGAAAACCAACTGCATAAAGAGGCTCACATTATGCTCTGATTGCAGCTCCTGCAGGCCCTGATGCATCTCGAATTCAGGACGCTGACAGGCCCCAACCAATAGAGCAAGGATCTCACCAGCTTCTTGTTTCAAGTGTGAACTAGATCCTACAAATGAGATGAGGCCTAGAAGAAGCGGTATCATCACAGAATCTGATAGAAGCTGCTGTACAACATGAGGGTATACCATTAGCTTCTTAACGCATTTGAGGCATACTGATTTGTATGCTGGAGAGTTTGAAGAGAGCATCTGTATCAGACTTCGTATAAATTTTCCATCTTCCAAGTCCTTAATGTTATTTTCTTTAAGTTGCATCTTTATCAAACCGGCTGCCATCAATGCTCTGCTTTCTTGTGGTCCTGCGTGATGATATTGGTTGAGTGACTCATGGGAACAGTGGTAGAAAGGTATTATGCCAGGCATGTCTCTTTAAAAAAAAAAAAAAAACAGAGAGAGAGAAAGAAGAAGAAGAACCTTGGTTGAAACGAGCAACAAACGGTTGAAAATGTCCAGCTTCAGCCATCTTGATTACAAAGGAGGTGTTGGAAGAAAGATTCTGCAACGTGCTCTGGGCTTTCTGCGACACATCTCGATTGTCATTGTGGAGTAAAGAAACCAAAAGTGGAATGCAATCTTTTGTTTCCCCTATTTTTTCTCTAAGAGTTTCCTTTTTGGACAACTCCAACAAAACTGCAATAGCATCTGGTCCTTTTTCACCTCTGTAGATCTGCTTAACAATGCGGCGAACCACACCTGCTTCTACCATGACTTCCTGCAATTCCACCTAGCAGGAATTTACACAACAGGTCAAATTTGAAATGCAAGATAGTCAATATTAGCTCTGCATACCTTGTGATTATCACAGTGCTTAGCCAGGTAGTAAAGACATTTCAGAGTTGCCGAGGTGTCCAGTCTCTTGTGCTTTAAGAATTCCACTAATTTTGGAACAAGTCCACCCTCTGAAACTTTGATTGCATAACGGGGAATTTCTATCAGAAATTGCATGTTCTCTAAGGCCTTATTTTGTCGAGAACGGTCATTGTTATTGATTCCTGAGGCTGCAGCTTGAAATTTTAAGTCCAAGTCTCTTAGCTTCCACTCATCTATAGAGCTTCGGAGATTTACATTTGGAGTAAGCTCCAAAGATTGTAGCTCCTCTCCACAGGTGGGACAACTCCTTTCTCCTCTGTTGAAGCAGTCCTGAATTGCCTTTCTTTCAAAGCTATGGCCACAGAAAATTGCAACAGGGTCTGTCATCATCTCATTGCACAGCGGGCATATGAATGAGTCGATTGGGTATTGCTGGTGGTACATGGAAATTTCCTCATTTTGCGGCCTTGTAACAGTTTCAGTGCTGTATAACAACTCTATCAGTTGAGCTAATTGAAATGCCTCCGCCTGCTTCTTTTGATCTTCCATCTCCTCCTTTTCCTGCTTCAGAAGAGCCAGCTCATTTTGCACTAGGGATGCATTTTCCCTTGCACCAACCGCTTCTGCAATCTTCTCAAGAAGTTTCATGGAATTCTCTTGGTTTCGGCTATTCTGAGATATTGAATTTTCAATCTCAAAAGCTAATGTTTCTGTTGCAACTGTTGATCGAAATTCGATTGACCTCAGATTGTTGATGATCTGGTTGATCATGGTTTTCAGGTTCAGTGACATATCAAGATTGACCAGGTGGAATGAGGAGATAGTCGTGGCCATCTCTTTCGACAAGTTTTGCATCTGCAAACGTATTGAGTGTGAGTGAAGTAAAAGGCGGAGACAGCTACCAGATTTGTAGCCTTTGATAATCTTGGCAGCTTCTCTCATCTGAGAATTCAAGGTCTCTAATGCAGCTTTTGTAGATTCTAAACCCATTGCTGATTCAACTTTTTTGGCATCCAAAGCCCGAAGGAGGGTGCTTAGCTCTGAGATGCGTCTAGAGAATTCTTGCAAGCTGTCCTTTTCAAGAACCACATCCCTTGTTTCGGTAACGATCTCCATTGCTTGAAATGCCACCTTGTTCCACAATTCCTGCAGTACTGCCACCCCTACATCCTCAATTTCAATACTGAAATCCATAGAATCCGTTGGAAACTGCTGACTCTTTGCAAATTTGATTCCAGTTTTATGGATTTCCTGCTATATCAGTCCATTCAATCAACAACTAGTGGCTTCTCCATTGGCATCCTGACCTATAAAATCCACTGAATCCAGGACAGGTCAGAATATGAAGCTTTGGAACAAAAATTCGGATACATGAAGGCCTTCCACCACAGCCAGAAGAAATCTTTTCCAAATTGCCTAGTTATTTCTTATTTGTGGAGGGTGGAGCTAGCAGGTTTCCATATGATGGGGCAAAGAAAGAATTTAATTTTTTCTTCTTTTGGGGGTATTGATCAGAACTTAGGATTGGGAGGGATTGAGTAACATTCCTGCAGTTTAGCAGCGTGATATCGAGGGAAATTTTGTCAGCCAGCCTCCCTGAAGAGCCATTATCGCCACTTGACAAAGTAATTTGCTACAATATTTGCTCTGGTTATCATGCAATGAATAATGCCGTCTGTACCTATTGATTATTGCCAAAGAATAATCAGCCACGCAGTTTATACCTATCATTAACCGGAGGATTTTGAAGTCACAAGACTTGGTTGTGACTTCAAAATAAGTTAAGCAGAAAGTTGTATGAAACAGAACTCTATAAAAGGACTAAGCACATCCAACAGAAAAGGAAAATAAAAGAGGGGGTCAAGTTTTGACCTGATGAGAAGCTCAAGCCAAACCGGCCTTAATATCAACAGCAGAACGAGTTCGGGATCAGTTTATAGGAATTCCCTTTCTTCGTCATCGTGAAGGAAGCGAACAGACAGATAAAGTAACTGTGAAACCATTTGGTCCCCAGTTACACGGAAGAAAGAGAGCAGAAATTGAATAAAAGACTGGTAATGTCAAAGGTTTAGTCTTCAAAGAGGTGCGTTCGTTTTGTGTATGTTGACTGGGGATAAAAACTCAAAGTTTTCACAGGCCCCATGACAGGAGCGAGTGCACATCGTTAGAGGTGAAGGGTACTTTACCGCGAAATGTCCAAGAACCAGACGCCTATTTTTTAGTGGCGAAGGCAGCCGCAGCTTGGAATGGAAGAGGTACTTTTGCTAAGGTATCAAATATTATAAACCTTATAATTTTCCCATCTTTGAACAACATACCGTTCAAATATTTTCCCATTTTTCCACCAGCTACATGACGTGCTATTTGTATATAAAAAAATTATATATGATCAAGACAAGAAAAAATCAATATAAAAATATAAAAAATATTGTCAAACACATCAACCGGACCGAATTTAATAACGATGCACTCCATCCAACCCATTAGCAGAGACCACGTACAAAAGGGATGAAAACGTCGGCGACAATATTAGAATAAAAAATCCAAAGCCTCTCACCAGCTGACAGAAATTTCCTGGTAAACTCCAGGGTTACAGTTTTTCCATAACTGAGTTTGCGTTTCTATAATGGCGATGACAAGACTGACATAACCACTATGAACGCGTCAGATAATAATAATAATAAGAAGAAGAAGAAGAGAAGAAGAGTAGCATAATTGCCCACGTCATGGAGTTTGTCAGAATCGCGCCATCTAGCTTTGGAGCCCCATTTTCATCATCTGATTATTGGCAAATTGCAACAAGCTTTACTTCCTCTTAATATTTTGATGTTATGGAATCTCTTTTGTTATGATATTTTGGGTTTAGAATTGTGGTGTAAATTGTTCTGTAAAGTTTTTTTTATTTGAAAATACATTACAATAATTTTTTTAATTTTTAATATCACTATATTGAAAATATATTTTAAAACTAAAAAATAAAAATAAAACAAACGATTTGGCCGTAGTCTCCAATTCCACATTTATTACCCCCAAAAAAAAAAAAAAACCTTGTCGCACATGCACGTAGCTGAGACTTGTAGGACCCAAAGCGACAGAGATAACTAAAATTGTGGAGCACAATACACGAAGACTGGCTGGCTATTCATTCATAATTTCTAATATTAGTTAGTGTTTCCATCCAGTTGACTGACTTCGCATGAGAAATTGAGACGAAATACAACTTTTATAATCAAAACAATACACTTACAAAAAGGTTATATGCAGCAATGGAATAATTGCATTCATACGAAGCAAGTCGATTTACATTTACAATATTCCAGAATATCGCATACAAATTGATCAAGATCAATGCTTCATGGATGCAAGAGGCTATCTAACACCGTTAACATTCTCAACGCAAGATAACAACAGACAAGAAACTTTAAGGTAAAAAAAACACCATCAACCCCCAAAACATTGATTATTTTTATGATAGGTAGGTTTATAAATTTGTGCGCGCGCGCTGCTATAGTAGTTAAAAATAAAAGGTAGATGATGAGCCCAAATCAAACCCGTCTGTGACCGTATTCGATACCGATGGCACGATCCCAAATAACGAGCCATGCAGCCCAAAGTCATTGGAAGCAAAGCCCAATATTGACCCACTAACTTCAAGCCCATTCACATCATCTATCTGTTCCTCTGGAAACCCGAGAAACCCTGTGTCATTCCAAAATTCACGACCCATATCACACCCATTACAGCTAGAGTTGACATCAGGAGGCAAAGGCGGGAGCTCAATGTTGTCCGTGTTAGAGAGATAGTTTAGCCCACTGGCGACATCCAGACTGCCAGCACTGTTGGGCTCATTGGACCCACAAGGCCCATATCCAGCTCCAGCTCCAAATCCTTGAACCCAGCCTGCTCCACCTGCTAACCAGTTGCTATTACTTTTACCATAAGCATGAGCATTGAAGGGATGCTGATCCTGAGAGAAGTAGAGCTGCTGGTAGCTGGTGTCATTTTGATGAGAATTGTGTTGTGGAGGAGGAGAAAAGAGGGCCGAATTGTCATGTTGTGACTCGTCTGGTGAGATAATGGAAGTGACAGAGGAGGCAGGAGGCATGTCTGAGTAGACAAAGTTGGTGCGTGCTTTGGAGCCCCGCATGGACCTGGCTGCACGGTCATAAGCCAAGGCAGCTTCCTCAGCTGTGTCAAAAGTACCAAGCCAGTGCCTCTCTTTTGTTGAAGGGTCTCTTATTTCTGCAGCATATCTACCCCATGGCCTTCTCCTTACCCCTAAGAACCTTACTTCTTGTTGTTCTTGTTGGTTCTGGTGCTGCTGCTGCTGCTGCTTTCTTTTGGTCTTCGAAGGAGAGGGTGTTGAGTTGGTTTTTGTCGAGTAAGTAAAATCCATGATAAATAAAAAAAGATATATAAGTCGGTTTAGATAAGGTTTTGTGCTAAGATTAAAGGGAGATTCTGTGTAGAGAGAGAGAGTAGCGCTTCTCTTCTTGTGCAAGAAGATTAGATAGAGATGATGAAGAGAAGAATGAATAAATTGGAGGGCTTGTTTATCGAGCGTTGCATGTTGGCGGTATAAATAAGGAATTAGAAGAGACTCTGCCTGTGCCATCAACCTTTCTTATTTCACCAGAAAAAAGAGAGAGAGCTGTATTTAATCACCATAGTTGCCCCTCATACATACATACATACATTACTATATACCGGTATTAAATTATTAATAATAATATATCCTCCGTTACCAAATGATGATAATAATTGATGACTTCAATCCATGCTTGCTAATAATCTAAGAGTGGGCCCCTTCATGCCTGGTGCATGGAATTCCTGTAATTTAATGAATTTCACCGGATCCTTATCATCAATGCTAATTACTTAATATGAAAGTCGGTTTAATCTATTACTTAATGTTACTATTCACTTCACACTTGCCTCCTCACCTGGTTAATTTTCAAGGCGGATTTTTATGTGGAAAGTCAGATTTTCTTTTCAATTAACACTATGAGTGTCCTTAATTTAAATGTGCGTTATATTACTAAATACTTTTTATTTATTTAGGGATATATGTGTGTATAAAATGATTTGGATATCTATTCTATTAAAAAAAAAAAAACCCAAGTTTTGAGGTGTTTTTATTATAGTATTTGCATTGTGCTCTCTCTTGTATTTACAATATGGATTAGAATAGTCCATTTTTTTATTTAATTCTTAACTTGAAACTCATTTTTTTAATGCAATTGAGCATTTTTTTAACTCAAATATCAAATTGCTTTTTTTTTTTAATAAAGTGTTGGATTAAAAGATAAAAAATCAAAGTAAAAAGTGACAGATAAAATAAACAATAGTCTCGGATTTCATTTGCAAAATTTATTTTAGTTTCCTATCTTTTTTATTTATTAGAAGGTTAATCCTTTTAATTGTTAGAAATTCAATTTTAACACTAGACTTCATTTTCTTAATTTTTAGTTTTTCTTAAAAAAAACAGAGAGAAAATGAGGCTCGCTAGATTTCATTGTAGAAAAAAAAAAGTCACCTTTAATAATGATTTCGGACATAAAAATAATAGATGACAATATCAATGGGAGTTTAACCTAGATATTTTTTATTTTTTCTCCGTATTTGAGGAGTTAAATATGATCATAAGAGTTTTTTTGGTTATTTTTTAGTTGTTTTTGTTAGTTTTGTTTTTTAAGGCTATTAATAAATTAATCAAAGTGTTTTGAGTAAAAACTTGGTTAAAAATAAGTCTTTTAGCAAAAAAATAACCCGAGGCCCCTTTTTTTAGATATCTTTAGTTGCTAAATTCTGCAAGAAGTATATGACACATCATTTGATTTTTTCTAAAAAAATCATGGTGGACAAAGAAATAAAAAAAGAAGTTAAAGCGATTCATCAGGCCCCTTACACGCATATCACAAGGGTTTTTTTTAACAAAAAATGTTTCATACAAAATAATTATCATGTACTTATCATATAATCAAATAAAAAATAATTTATGAGATAATAAATTATTGAATTTAATGACATACATGACTTGTGTTGAGATTTTGCTTTGTTGACTCGAGCTCATTTAGTTTTTTTTATAAAAAAGAAAATAAGTGTTGTTTTTTTAATAATTTTAACATTTAATATTGAGTTAATTTAAAATTGAGTTTTTTTAAAAAAAAATTCAAGATTATCCTCAAGTTAACCCATGTAGTTCCAATATGTTTCCATCTCAAAATTAGATAAAAATATCATTCAATTCATGGTCAAAATCTATTTCTTTTTTAAAAGACATATTACCAATACCTATATTTTTTTATGCTTAAAAAACTTTTTACTCTGAAATGTGACATAAAATAAGATAATAGGGTAGTTATGTACCTAAAGAAGTTGAGTACACTTACTTCATTGTTTTTTTTCTCCTTTTTATTTGTCTTTTTTTCTTTCAATTACTTCATTTTTTCTCATTTTCATACTTTTATTTTTCTATTGGTCGCTCGAGTCGAATAAATCATGTTGAGTTAAGTCTCACATGATTTAATTTTAAATATGGACTAGATAAGAAATAAAATCCGATTTGTCAATTATGTCCTTTATTTTCTCAATTTTGTCCTCATAATTCTTTTATTGCTTAGTCAGGTTGGTTTTCGATCGGTTAGGTGAACTGGGTCATGTCAAGAAAACTCTTACGTACACGATTTAAATTTAAACTTGAGTAAGGTAATGAATTGGGTCGAGATGTTTTTTTTTGTCAATTTCATTATGTTTTTCTCAATTTTATGTTTAGACTTTTTTGACCAATCAGCCTGTTGTTTTTTATTCATCCAAATCAATTAAGTCATATTAGAATAATTTTCATACAATTTTATTTTAAACTCATGCTAGATAAAGAATTGAGTTGAGAAATTTCAAGATTGATCTCTTCAATCGAGTTTAATTACAATATTAAATATTTTTTAATAATTTAAATATTTTTTATTAATTTAAAATAATTTGAGTTAACCTGCAACACAGTGCAAGACTATAAACATGTATGTGTATAAATTTGTATATCAATTAAAAGAAACCAAGTTTTCTTGTTCACGAGCAATCTCAAAGATGCATCCTCGCATCAAGCAATTGCATTCAAAATAATAAATTCACCTTCATGTTCTTCTAATATTGATTATTTGAACCTAGTTTAGATAAATATGTACTTTCACACACATACACGATGTTTATCCTTTTGATTTATTTATCGATCTCAATTCAAATTAATGGATAATAATACTATAATTATATTGTGACTACTTTTTCATTTTTTTTAACTATTAATTATTCTTATCCAGCCAGTTAAAAGCTAGAACTTTCATTTGCAAAACATTTTGATTTTCGAATATCAAACGGGATTGATATTGGTTAGTTTCTTTTGTTTTGTTTTTTTACCATACATATTGGTTAGTTCTTATTTTCTCTATTTCATGATGTTAAATACTAAGGCTAATATTAATTAACTCAGAAATGTTTTATATATTTCCATATTTGTAACTTTTTAGCTAAGCAAAGCATGAAATTGGCGTGTTAACTAGCTAGATTTCTGAGATGGGGCGCCAATCGATCAAGAGAAATGTTTTTTTAGTCGCTATCGATCATCCCTACCCAATGAAGTATGTAATAATGGGCATGGCTTCGTAACAATCATTGGCTCTCACATTGAATAAGTACTTTTCTTGCAAGTTCATCTTCTCCTAAAGTTCTATCTAATTGGACTTGATTAATTTCCTTAATTATATCATTAGTTATAATATTGGCATATCTAAATAAAAGTTCCTCACATGTGAACTCAAGAGAGAGAAAGAGATTAAGGGTCTTGCTTAATTAAATCACTGAATCAGGGACTGATCATGGATTGTACTAAAAAAATGACTTGTATAATTATACATTGTTATTATTATGATCATTAGAGAGTGCATGCCTTTGAAGAAGTACTTTATTCAAACCGCAAAAGGTCTCGCAAAGACCAACCCTGCACCATATGATTGCTCAATACATGGAAGCAAATCAAGCTATCAATCCCATTATCATTCGGTAGTTAGAACTCATCATCCCAACACAATTAGATCGCTTTATTTTTCCTAGTCTTTTTCTCTTTTTCATAATTTATTGCCGAATACATATATAGATAGCAGTATAACTTCTTCTTCTTTTAATTTATCGCAAGTCGTTCCATTAATGAAGTGTTAAAAAGGGATCATAGAGTCTTCGTAAACCCTGCGTGATAGTCTCCACGCACATGAGCTAGCTAGCGAAAGTATATACCCTCTGTTAAGAAACGAAACTTACAATTCTACTATAAGTATTGTAAGTAGGTTTAAGTCTAACACATAAAACTTGCTGTATTTATTTTATTGATAAATAGAAAATATACGCACGGGTATAAAAGGTCATGTTACCCTATGCCTATAGTAATGCATATATATGGAGCCTTTTACGTGGAACACAAAGGGAATATGATTATCTCAGCCATGTGCATCCAATTTGAGCCAATTATAATGATATGTTCCACAATCCTTCTCTCAGCTTTTCAAAGCTAATGGCTTTGCTTTAATATCTTTTCATAATTTTATAATTTTGTGAAGCATGGAGAATTGGTAAATATGAACTCACTCATAGACCTCCAAATGAGGGGAAGGCATGTTGGGTTGCATGTGAGGCGTACATATAGATTGGCATGCTTTTTCGACTAAAACAATCACTAGGAAGACCTACTTACAAGAATTAATAAAATAGAGGAAAAAAGAACTCATCATGGCCCGGCCTCATGATCCATCTCAATTGACACACATGATGTCGATCAAGAAACTCCATCATCTCAATGGATATTGGCGCTATTATTGCTACAGGATCATCAGTCTCTTCGAGTCAAATATTTGACCTATCACCAAAAAAAGGAAAAATTAGCCGAACTCCAATATCTATACATTTATGTAGCTAATAGTAGTCGCTCCCTTTTTTGAGGTAAATTTTGGTCAAATTTGGAACGTGCATGATCACTGAGGGGCAGAGTCTCCTCAGATGCCGAATGACAGCTCTGAAAACTAGGAAGTTCCATTTCATTGTTTTTCAAACAAAATAGAAACTTCAGTTTCCCAGGTTTAAGTACTGCAGTCAACTTCTGATCGCAAAATTTGTTTCCCACTTGTTGTCGAGGTCGCAACAGGTCAAAAATGGACAATGGCTTTTGAGGTTGGACGGAATACTTATGCTCCAATCAGGCACAAAAATTGATATAAAGTTATGAGTGACAACTACACTGCATGGGAACTTCGATTAGAAAGGACTCACACCATTGCTAAGTAAATGAGCATTGTTGTAGTTGCTATCTGATTATTATTATTATTATTTGGATAATAGTAGACTTTTTATTCATCAAAATTAGCCATTTAGATGATGCCTAACAAGGGTACAAATGAGAATATAAATAAAGGACAGAGTAAGAAAAGGACAACATGAAAGTTACCTTAAGCTTATGCATCAATGATTGTGAATATTATTTGTATATATTTGAATTGCACATATTAGTAGATGATTATATCTATATGTTAGGTTTTCTAAAACATAAATATGTGGTGAAAATAATAAATTTAAAAAATTATC